GCCCACCTCCCCCTACCTCCACCCACCTTTGTCTCTGGCTATCACCACATTGTTGTCTCTGAGAGATAGATACATGTGTGTGTGTGTATGTGTGTGTGTCTGTGTATGTATGTGTGTGTGTGTTTTGCTTAATCCCTTCATCTTTTATTTAGTCCCCCAACACCCCCCCACACACACTGACAGCTCAGTCTGTTTCCTTGTAACCATGTCTCTGATTCTGTTTTGTTTGTCAGCTCATTTTGTTCATTGGATTTCACATATAAGTGAGATCATATTAACCTGTCATTTTCTAAAATGTGCAAACTATTAATCAGATGAGATGAGTCTCTAATAAAGGGTTCTGTGGTGAAGTCAGTTTCGTGTTATATCCCATTGGTGATTAACAGATCTTATAACATAAAAATCCACACCTGAAACCTATGTGATCCTATTGACCAATGTCACTCCAATAAATTTAATTTAAAAAATAATACAAGCATACAAAGTCCTTAGCATAGTGCCTTTGATTTAGTAGGTGGTCAGTGTTAGCAATTATTAATAAATGGTTGGATTTTCATCTGGGGTAGTTTTCATTAGTATTGGACACATGTGATCGGGAGATCATTCAGTACAATATTACAGTGGTGTATGCTACGGCTAATGAAAACAGTGGTAGGGATAAAAAGGAGGAAGTAGTTCAAAAATAATTAAAAGATAAAAAAGAGAAGAATTTGTTCCTGGGTTGGATCCAGGGGCTATGGGTAAAGGAGCAGTACATGTGAATCCCAGGACAGCCGCCATTTATCTGCTGTCAGGATCTGGTACTGATCTTCACCCTCACCTTTCAGAAGAGGTTCAGAAAAAAAATTTTGACAATCAGAAGCTAAATGAATTGCAAACAAAAAGGGAAGAACCAGAACCTGAATGCAAATCTGATCTGCTGTGAAACCTGACTCTTTCCCCTGTATCTTATTGCCTCCCTTGGCTTAGAGGTCTGGGTAGAAAGTGATATCATTAAAGGAGAGATACAGCAGGAGCAGCAAGTCTGTAAGAGAAGACAAGTTGAATTTATTGGCTTATGAAATATTCAAAAAAAGAGCATCAGGTCCTTGCTGTAGAAGCTCCAAGCAGGGGTCTGGGCTAGAGGCGTCCCCATGAAAGACAACATAGAGGTAGTGGTTAAAGTCATTGGAATGGATTAGGTTACCTGGACAGGGTGCTCATAGAAAGAATAACAGTGGAGAAACCCAGGACGAGAAACCTTGTTCATCTCTACAGTTTAAGGAGCTAGAACGGAAAGGAAATGGAACTCTCCGAGGTAGAAGATCTAGGGAAACATCATTGTCTTAGAAGCCAAGGAACTTAGAGTAGGTTGAGCAAACTTTACCCAGGCAGGTAACCTAACAAGTAAAGGATGGACAGGTTGTACAAAATAAAATCAGAATTACTAAGTATAAGAAATGAACTGGAGAGTCCAGCTGCCCCTTAGCTCTAGCCATTTGCTACCACATTGGAATTTAGGCTCCATGGTGCAGAGCTCCGCATCTTTTTTTTCAAAAGAAACCAAAACTGTGGATTTTTACCAAAAACTTTATCTAGTTTTTATGTGTTACCAATTAATTTAGATTTTTTCTGAAAACAGTATTTGGCTCAAACAAATTATATCTGTGGGTTGTATTTGGTCTGCCAGCCACTAGTTTCCAATCTCTGAATAGTGTTTGATGTTTTTCCAAAGGAAAGAACAGTCAAAATAGGTCCAGTAAGATACTGTAAGTACATGGCAATGTTGAGATCATTGGCCTGCACTGGTGATCTTTTCCAGAGTGGTTGCCTGGAGTGGTGAGGGCACTGCCATGTTGAGGATTGAGGGGTAAATGGGAGATGAGTAAGTTAACAAGGGTAAAGAAAGATGTGTTGCTGAAGAGAGACCGTGATTGCTAAGTAAGGGAGACTCCTCGTTCTGTGCTTTCGTGCAAAGAAACACCAAAATAACAACAAAAAAACCCTATTTTTGTATTTATAGAATTTTTTTTTCATTCTTTGTGTGAATGATCTTAATATTCATTCTCCACCCCCACCCCCATTTTACAGCTGTTTTTTCACTTACAAAGAGAACGGTCCTTTCCTGAACACAGAGCAAGGTTTTATGCTGCTGAAATTGCCAGTGCATTGGGTTACTTGCACTCCATCAAAATAGTGTACAGGTAAGTTTTTAAAATATTACTTGTAAAAATATCTTTTTATTAATTTACTTCAGCTGATATTCAGGTGTGCTTTTTTTCTCCTTTCAATTTGATAGAGACTTGAAACCAGAAAATATTCTTTTGGATTCAGTAGTAAGTATTCACTTTTAAAAATCTACTGGTTCTCAAGTTTTGTTGTTGTTATGCTTAGTGGACAAAAGTCAGCCTCCAAGGTTCCACACTGCGTGATTCCATTTTATATAACATTTTTGAAGTGACAAAACTATAGAGATGCAGATCAGAGTAGTGATTGCAAGGGCACAGGGACCGAGTGAATAGGGGAGTGCAGAAATAAAGGGTAGCACCAGGTGTTTCTTTGTTCCTTTGGGATTGATGGATAGTTCTCTGTCTTAATTGTGGTGGTATGTACACGAATCTGTACATCTGTATTATATAGAACTACACATACTTACACACACACAAAATGCATGCATGTACAAAATAGTGACAACTGAAAAGTTGGCATTCTGTTTAACAATTTTGTACTGATGTCAGTTTCCAAATTGTGATATTGTACTACGGTCATATAAGGTGTCAGCACTGAGGGAAGCCGGGTGAGGGGTACATGGAACTTGATGTGCTATTTTTGCAGTTTGCCTCTGTGTCTATAATTATTTCAAAGTAAAATAGTTTTTTAAATTGTCAGTTTATGTTCATGCATATTTTATCTTACTGCCCCTGTGTTTCTCAGGGACATGTTGTCTTAACAGATTTTGGGCTTTGTAAAGAAGGAATTGCTATTTCTGACACCACCACAACATTTTGTGGGACACCAGAGGTAAGGAGTATGTTTCATTTGTCATTCACATAATCATGAGTAAAATGCAGAAATGAATCACAAATTGCATGTACAAAAGTTGAAATCTGAAAAGTAGAATAAAAACTATCATTTCAGTTTCTGCCAATTGGAAATAATCTGATAATCATCCCTTCTGAATATTTAAAGCTTATTAATAGTTGGTATTTTTAACTGTGATTGTGAGATACAACCAGATAACCCAACAAAAATGTAAATTATGCTTGTTTTTAATGTTAAAAGTTTACCCTAGACTTCTTTAAGCATTTAATTTTATTTCTAATGCTTAAAAATAAAATCATAAGTCATTGATGAAAATGCCCTAAAATTGTGGTAATGTTTGCATAATTCTAAATATATGAAAAGGCATTGAATTGTACGCTGTAAGTGGGTAAATTACATGGTTTGTGAATATCTTAATAAAGCTCTCTCCCTGGCCGGTGTGGCTCAGTGATTAGAGTGTTGGCCCTCGAAGTGAAGGGTCCAGGGTTCTATTCCCAGTTAGGGACATGTACCTGGGTTGCAGGTTTCGGAGTCTGTGCGGAAGACAACCAATCGATGTGTCTCTCTCGTCATTTTTTTTTTTCTCTCTCTCTCTGTCCCTTCCACTCTTTCTAAAATCAATGGAAAAGTTAGAGCAAATATGGCAAAAGATTGACATTGCCTATATTTAAGTGGCAGCTTTATTGGTTTCTATTATATTTTACTATTTTTCTCTATGGTTAAAACATTTATAATAAAATTAAGTGTTTATTTAACAGAAGAAAATAAGACAGTGGATGTGGGGGAAAATTCACAAATAAGAATTAATCCAGATATCCCATTCTTTAATCATGTTAGCTAGCAGAAATGTGTCTTTCTATTTGAAACAATAATAATCTTTATAATTTATGTTAAAGCCTTCTTATTCTCTCTCTCCCTCTCTCTCTTTCTCTCCCTCACATACACACATTTAGTATTTGTAGTGATCTTAGGTGCCAGGTGGTATTTCAACATTATTGTAGAATAATGGCAAATATTGTTGAAAATGTTTGATATAATGGCTCACATGAGACTTGTAATCAAGATCAGAACAATATTTACTTTAATAATGTATTTTTCTTTCTTTCTGTAATCTAACCCTAGTTCTTGTGAATAGTTGTAGCCATTCTATTTTGGTTTATGTCTGAAGAAACATTTTTTTGTGAATATATTGATTTCATAGTTAACAAAATCTTTAAGTCCTGTAGGTTTTAGAAAGGATACACAAGTTTTTTGGTCATCTAAGTCTAAATGTGATCAGAAATTATTAAACCCTTGTAATTTGCCATTTTTTTGGAGCACATAAAAAAAGCTTGAGAAGAAATTCTTTCCTTATTTCATATGGAAAGAGAAAACATATTTTTTGGAATCTAAAATTCAAATTAACCATCTTATATTTGTGAAATAGTGATAAATTTAATGTTATTGCTTTATGTTAAAATGTAAATAGCTGTGTAATAACTTCAAAAATTTTAAATAATATGTTAGAGAAAATTACAATTGTAATTTTCTAAGAAGAATGAAATTCATTCTTTATTCTTTCATTGAATTCTTCACATTTCTTTACATTAGGAATTCTTTCTTTGGGAGAAACAATTATTAGTAATGACCAGAGGAATTTCTAAGATAAATTAATCTTAAAAAGGACTTCTTCCCCACTCCCCTCCCCCCCCCACAAAATACCTACTTTACCTACTTCATATTACAAATTCTACATCTGCTGCACTCTTCTGTTTGTCTTAACTGCATCACAGTTTCTGGGGGAAATGTTTGAATACATGTATTTTGAAAAATGTCCCAATGGATTTTGAAGAACCACTGGTATACAATGAAAATACCCAACCAACTGAAAATCTAGATATGTTTTTTGTGTGATAGTAACACCTAAAATTTGTTCAATTTCTCAATTATTTCTAAATTTTGTGTTGTTTATTGAGTTGCGCAAATATTTAATCTTTTCTGTAGTACCTTGCTCCTGAAGTAATCAGAAAACAGCCCTATGACAATACTGTAGATTGGTGGTGCCTTGGTGCTGTTCTGTATGAAATGCTGTATGGATTGGTATGTATTTCTACTCTTTCATTATTTTTCCAATATATTATAATTGATTTTTCTTTTTTCTTTTTCTCTTTCAATAATCTTGTGGCCATTTAGATAACACTAACAGGGTAGTAGGTACCTGGTAAAAATTAATCCAAAATCATGTCTGCACAAAAAGAAAAGTTTTTTTCCCTAGCCTGTTTGGCTCAGTGGTTAGAGCGCTGGCCCGCTGACTGAAGGGTCGCGGATTTGATTCTGTCAAGGGCATGTACCTCGGTTGCAGGTTTGGTCCTGGTTGGAGTGCATGTGGGAGGCAACCAGTCGATGTGTCTCTCTCATATCAATGTTTCTCCCTCTCTCTCTCTCTCCCTTCTACTCTCTCTGAAAAGCAATGGAAAAATTACCCTCTAGTGAGGATTAAAAAAAAAAAGAAAAAATTTTAAAAAATGTTTCATTATGTCACTAGTTTATTCATATAATTTTTCTCTGTCATACTAATTACTACTGCAGGTATTCTCCTCTCTCTTACATTTTTTTCTAAATAGACACATGGTTGTAACATTAAAATTATCTACTTTCCATTTAGTTTACCCTGGTCATCACTCTGCTTAACTTCAAAAAAAGGGAAAGAAAAAAGATTTTTGTATTTATTAGAAGATAATGCCTTTGGGATTTTTCCTTGTATTTTGTTTTTATAGGATTTAATTAACACACTGGTGCTCCACTTTTTCCATCACTTGGGAACTCTCTCTTCCATTCACTATATATACCATGTCTTAAGATTTCATTTAAAACAAAAAAAGTGATGTTTACTATGTAATGTTTCCCCAGTTTTTATTAATTAATGACACATAAGGCCAGGCAGAGCTTCTGATTAACATGAATACATTTGTTTTACTACATTGAGTTAATACTCCAACCCAAACCAAACAATTTAGGCATTTTAATTAGCTTATATATTTTTATAGGAATAATATATGTTTTTGTTTAGACTTTTTGGAATATTTGGAATCTTTTCTAGGCTCCTTTTATGGTCCTATAAGTGTCCAGCACCCTCAGGCTGGGAACCATCCACTCATCCCCCCTGGTGCTGCTCCCACTAAGCTAAATACCACCATCAGTTGAGACCTGCTTATGATGAGACTGGTGGTTGTATTCTTTAAAACAGATACTATTGCAACTTTTATACAATTGACACCTGTCCACAGGTATTATTGAACAGACTGGCCCTAATTCATTCAGTGAACATGCATTAAGCTCTGCAGTGTGCTGCGTTTTAGAATCCCTTTGCATCCGGAGGCCACACTGCACCCAAAGAGGCTGTGCATTCCTGCAATTGTCCAGACCCAGTCTGCTCTCTGTAGATCAAGGCCAAATGCAAGTATTTTAACCCAAACATTTTGGCATAGTTTAGTTGACACTAACTTTATTTTGCTTTTTTTCCCCAGCCTCCTTTTTATTGCCGAGATGTTGCTGAAATGTATGACAACATTCTTCACAAGCCCCTAAATCTGAGGCCAGGAGTGAGCCTCACAGCATGGTCCATTCTGGAAGAACTCCTAGAAAAAGACAGGCAAAATCGGCTCGGTGCCAAAGAAGACTTTGTATGTATATCTCTCCCACTTTATTTAACCTTATTTATAATTTGAAAATAAAGCCTTATTTTATGTGGTATTTAATGGGATGAATACAGCTCTTAAAGAAGAGCACCATGAAAGTGCAAAACTTGTCCCCACGACTTTCACCAGTGTTTATACATTTAGAACTGTACAGAGTTTAAGCACCTGAACCTGCATTGTTTCATTTGATACTCTCTTCTTCGTCCCTCACATCCAGCTTTCACACTGTATTATTTATTTGATTTTTATTTATTAGAATTTTTTCTCCTCTCCCTTCTTTTTAAAAAATTGTGGCATACATTTTTGATTACCTGAACTTTGAGATCATTTTGTTTAACAAGAATTTAAGTGCTTCCTAACTGCATGAGGGAATGTGTTTCATCTTGAACTAACATTGAATCAGTTTTTTTCCTGAGAATTTGATATCTCCTTGAGATAATTATGGAATCTGTGGGTTTGGTTTTTTAAAAAAGCAGGGTAATTAAGTTGCGAGTGTAGCTGTCAGTGTTATGTTGGTGTGTCAGTATTCATGAACTGTTGAGGAACATGAACTTTTAAGTTCATTTAAATTTCTCAGAAATTCTTGGGGGTTCTTTATCAATCTTGAGCTTAAGCTGTGAATAACAAACTTGTCTGCTCCTGATTTTCTCTTCCTACACAACCCAGTTCAGCAGATGGCTCTGTCAACTGTTCTCTATCCAGCTTTGATTGTTTCAGTCAGTCTTGCTAATTCTTCACACCTCCTTGCCCTTTGGTCCTTTTATTGAATTCAGAAATCACAACCCTGGACGAATCCAACTGTCATCTCTGGGCTACTGTATATTGCTGAAGAAAGTTTGAAAAGTGGGCTAAAAGGGTTTCCGGACCCATTTCCAATGTATGTGTGTGTGTCTGTGTCTACACTAACAAGGAATTTTTGAACACCAGTAGGGTGACATAGTTTTAAGTAAGTGTTTATAATGAGACATTTAAAGTCACTAAAGAGGCCTTTTTGGTCCTTTGGGGAGGAGAGATAGAGGAGGAGATGTCTGTGATTCTAGCTGAAATCACTATATAAACAGATTTCAATGTGTGTTTAAAAAGAGTCAAATAGGAGGAAGCACTTTGTGAGGTAAAACTTGTCATACAAATTAAAACTAAATACAATGGGGGGGGAACTTGGGAAATATACCTAAGTTAAGTGTTTGCTACTGGAAACCATCATTAACACTAAAAAAGTTTGGGTATCAATTTCAATGTGTGTGTATGTGGTGGCTCCCCAACACCAACAAGCAATTCTCAGACACCAGAACTGATAGTGTCAGATAGAATCAGATTCCATAAGTAACGGGCTCAGTCCCACAAGACGACCCTCCACTTCAGAGGCCAGTCACAAGCCCAGGTTGGTACCTGTGTTCTGACCAACTGGCTATAAATCACAGATTCCTACGACCCCCTCCTTGGGTTTGATTAATTTGCTAGAACCACTCACAGAATTCAAGAAAACCCATTTACTTACCAGGTTACTAATTTATTATAAAGGATATAAATCAGCAGCCAGATGAAAAGAAAGATAGAGCAAGGTCCCAAACAAAGGCACTTCTGTCCTTATGGAGCTTGGGGCCTGGCTTGGTGGCACGTGGAAACATTCTTGTTCCCCAGCGTGGAAGCTCTTGGATGAAAGGCCAGTGAAGTGCCCTATTGGATTTTTATGGAGGCTTCATTACGAAGGCATGATTGACTAACTCATTGGCCATTGGTTAATAAGATTACATAAGTTTCACCCAGCTGGGCGTGGCTCAGCGGTTGAGCACCGACCTAGGATCCAGGAGATCGCAGTTCAATTCCCGGTCAGGGCACGTGCCCGGGTTTCAGGCTCCATCCACCGTAGGGGGCGTGCAGGAGGCAGCCGATCAGTGGTGACTCTTGTCATTGATGTTTCTCTCTCTCTCCCTCTCCCTTCCTTTCTCTGAAATCAATAAAGATATATTTTTAAAAAAACAAAAACATTACATAAGTTTCAAGTGTACAGTTCTATAGTCCGTCATTTGTATGCTGCATTGTGTGCTCACCATCCAAAGACTGGTCTCCCTCTCTCACCATATATTTGACCTCTGTCTTCTTCGTCCTTTGCCCACCTGGTTCCCCTCTAGTAACCATCCTTCTGTTGTCTGTGCCTGTGAGTTTGTTTTTCGTTTGTTGCTTTTTGTTTTGTATCCACAGGCCTCGTTCTTTTGTCTAGCTAATTCTTCTTCATCTTCCAGAACTCTTACTTTCTCTAAGAAGTCGTTTTAAACCACCAAACTAGGTCTGACCCTACTTTATACGCTCGTGTGGCACCTGGCAGGGGGAAAACGCTGGAATCAGTTCTGTGCCAAGTTTTGATAGGAGCAACCCAGAGTGGAGTACTTCTTGGTGGTAGAGCTCATCATCTTGGTTTTACCTGTAAAACTCTCCTGCCTAACTTCTTCTCTACCTCCCCCATTCAGATAATCATAATTATTGTTCGTACCTATGTAGTACTTGCATCTTTTTATATCGCTCTTATATTTATAGTTTCCATTTATCCTTAAAACAGCCCGTTAAGTATTGAGGCAGAACTGTTAACTCCATTTTACCTATGAAGAAATTTGCTATATGAATAACGTAAACATGTATCTGAAAAGAATTAGATAATGGTTTGGCTTCATAAAATTCTTCAGTGAGTACTTGATATATTCTTCAGCATTAGTTTAAATATATATTTTTTTCTTTAATATTCTAGCTTGAAATTCAGAATCATCCCTTTTTTGAATCACTCAGTTGGACTGACCTTGTACAAAAGAAGATTCCACCACCGTTTAATCCTAATGTGGTAAGAATATATCCAATTCCTTCCTTCCAAAATAATTAAATGTAGAACTGTAGCTCATCATAATTTTAGCAAAGATCCCCAAATCTAACCTGAATGAAATTGAATCAGTATGTAAATATTTGCAAAATATTTCACTCAGGGTTGTCTAGTACAACTGATAACTTAAAGGTGACCAGTAAGATTATAGTTATATTAGAGCATGAGTAAGAAAAAGATGAGCTGAATAGGTTAAAAAAAAAAGATGCAAGTTAAAGTAACCATGGGGTATCATTTTCATACCTATAAATCAACAAACATTTTAAATAACACCAATGCACAGTTTTTTCTAGATTGATTAAAAACCAGGTACAGGCAAACATTATTAATGGTAATGTAAATTGTTAAACCTTTTTTGGAAAACAGTAAGACAATATTATAAAAATGTTCATGTTAGCTTGACCTGTTAAATCTACTGATGGAAACATTTACATAAAAACAATTTTATTTTTAAAAAAACAATTTTTATTTTAAAGCGGAAAAGCTGTATCAAAGACTTGTTTACAATAGTAATAATGTGGAAAATTTGGGGAAATAATTATGTTACAAATAGGGAAATTGTTACTAATCATCAGTAGGTCAATAATGTTACTATTGATAACTTCATATATAT